GTAGCTAAAAGTAGAAAATAGTCCCTGGAAGCAGACTTAATTGCACTGGTATACCAAACAACCATAAGAAAAATTTTGTCTTTTAGACTTGGTGGATCCTTTGGCTATTTATTTATAGAATGGAAAGCTTTTATACAGGTGATCCAAAAGAGTGCTTTGATCTGGATATTTTAACAAAGTTGATTAATTCATGTTAACCTGAGAACTGAATGACATCAGCCCTCCAAGGAAAACAGAACTAGAAGCTGCATTTCTCCACCTGATAATGTATTAAGTGCTGCATATGACAAAGACTGGCAATTTAAAGAGCAGCATAGACAGAAGTCTGCTAGAAGCAATTGGATTGATTTTTTGTAGACCTACTTGGTCCTTTGATCTCAGGATTAAACAGTGTATATTAAAAACAGATAAATCACAGAAACTCAAGTCTCCATAGCATCGATGAGCAACCAGGGAGGAGACTCAAGTATCAATCTCCTTCTAGACAGCTAGCCCAAAACAATGTGCTTTAATCTGAAAAAGAACTGCAGGCTCTTCAGTTTAAGAAAGACTGAGATTGACAAAGCAATTTGGGCTAAACAGGCAATCCATCAATCAGAACAGTTTGCTATACTAGTCTGAAATCAGGCAGAAGGCATGAAAGGACTGCACTTTAGGGTGCCTGTACATGTGCAGGAAGGCTGCTCTGACGCACTGTAATTACAGCACATTGGAGCACTTGATTAATGGAGTCTGCTGGAGTGTGCCAATTAGCATGTTTCAACCAGCCTCTGCATCTTGTGTATTAGCATCCCTGTGTTTCAAAATGGCAGCAAGGGTGCTTTAACTAACGCTCGTTTGATGAGTTTTAAACCGCTCCCACTGCCATTTGAAGTGCAGGAATGCTGATATACAAGATGCTGCAGGTGCTTAAATTACAGTGGCTCTAGAAGCTGCTCTAATTAAAGTGCACCCCCACCCCCCAACTGCCAGAGCATGTGTAAAAACACTCATAATTACTAACTTGTTCAGAGAGGCAAAAGCTTTTATAGGCAAACTACTTCATCCAATGTTGAATAAATGCAATTGCAATTTCTATGTCCTTTAGAGGGAGTATATCTAGCACATTACACAAATAAACATGACTTCAGAAACCACAGTTAGAGATGCTCTGATACTTGGGTGAGTGTTATCAGAGAAGGGGGAAGCAGAGGTGGGGCAGAGAGCATGAAATGAAAAACAAAAAAAAAAACAAAACACTTACTAAATACACAGCTTCATTATACATATTGACTTTCAAACATTCTTTGAGTTGACGAATCATGGCTTCTACAAATTCCCCACCAAAATTGTAGTTCCTGGCATTCAGCAACCCAACTAGTGTTGTGTAGACAGTAAGCTTTTCTGGTAATAGACGTGCACTGATTTAAATGTAGAAAATAAAAAACAAAACAAAAACAACAACATTGCATTAGATGTTAAAATGCATCATTTGCCACCTGCTGCAATTATTTAGCGTTTCAGATCGTGGTTAGTGCAGGATGAACTGATCTATTAATTCATCAGAAACAGGTAAACCCAAAAAATTAACCTTTCCTTAGAGTCCAACAGTATTTGGCAGAGCAGTATGTTTAGAATGATGACCCATCTAAGAATTTACATGCATTTTTAATTCAGTTTCAAAATAATTTCCTTTTAAATCATTCTGGGCAAGTTTACACAAGATGTTTACTGTGCAGAATTAGCTGCATCATAAACATCACATGGGTGCCCCTATTAGGCCGGAGTAGATTAATTTACTCCATGGCAGGAGAGTACTTGTATTACATGTACTATGTACTTTTTGTATTACATGTACTTTTGACTGCCTGTATTTCAAGTACTACCCTGCTGTGGTGTAAATAAATCTACTCCAGCCTCATAGGGGCACCCATGTGATGTTTACTGTGCAGCTAATTCTGCACAGTAAACATCTCGTGTAAACACGAAAAACTCCAAAAGTAGAGCACATATAGAGGCTGCCCCAGCAGTCCAGGGCATAAGGGTACTTCAGTGCAGGGGCTGACTGCTGGCTAGCCCCACACTGAAGCACCCTTGAGCCCCAGCCAGACCCTCTGCATCATGCTGAACGAGGGGGAGGAGCCCCAGGCTGGCAGGCTGACCCCTCGGACTGGCAGCTCTGATCTGATTCAACATACTGTGCCCCCAGGTACACATTCAGATGTGGTGCCTGGGAGCAATAAGTGCCAAAGTTTATACATGCACACTACTAGCACATTTAGATGTGTCCACCAGTTGTTGAGAACTTCATTAAAACTGTATTGGGTTCACACAGCTAAGTGATAAAAAACTTTTAGCTACAGTTTCTGTCTCAAACTGACCAGAAACCAAAATTGAAACGATTTGATTTTAGTGAAGCACTATTATACTTGGAAGGACCAATGTAAATTTTACGGTCATTTAGGGTGCATCTACACATGCAATTAATGTGAAGCAATAAACTCCAGAGCAGTTTGAGCTGGAGTGAACTCCTTTCAGGTGCAGCACCCACAGTCCCAGGACAGCAGCAATTTGAGCTAGGGAGAAGCAGGCCCCAGCTGGCAGGGCTGACTGGGCGCAGCTTATGCCCGCAGTCAGTGTCCACATATGAACTGCAGTGCAGTAAATTATCCCTCCATAAGATAGTACTGTTGGGGACAGTACTATCTTATGGCGGAGTTAGTGTACTGTGCCCTAATACCAGTGCACGTGCACAAGGTTACACTTTACTGAGGAGCAAATTAGTCTACTCCACAGTAAAATGCACATGTAGATGCACCCTTAGAGTTAAAAAACAAACAAACAAAACCCCTCCCCCAAAACACCAACCCCTCCACCCCCCACTGAACCTTAAAAAAATCCTATAGAACAAAACAAAAAGTTATCGTCATATCTCCCCGCTCCCAATACCCTTTCTTCAGCTACACCCTAGATTTCACATAAACATGGCTAATAATTCAAAACTAGAATTCGTGAAGATTTATAATGTTGGAATGATATAGCCATGAGGGTCCAGAAATTATGCAAGAGGCAAGGGTTATTATGGATGATATCTTTTAATGGACCAACTGCATGGCTGGGACAGAGCCATGCAGTCTATCCAACGAAAGGCACCACCCACAAAAATCCTTGCCTCTCTAAAGGTTTATATGTACTATTAAAGTATATATCAGATCATCAAGATTATACAAAAAGACTTAAATGCCATTTTACACTGCTTATAGAAATTTTGAATTAATATCCAAAAATCTTATCATACCAACATTGCTGATTTCATATTCAACACATTTAAGGAATCCAAGTGGACTGTTTCAACATTAACATATCAGTTAACTATGTTTCATGTAAATGTAATGTTAATCTTTACATCTCTTCAGGTGCCTAACTGCTGTGGGAAGCAAGTTAACTGTTTGACTTGTGTGTTTATGGTTCAGATGACAATGTTGTAATAATTCTCAGAAGTGTAACTGTGCATTGAGCCACACATATCCAAACCTACCCTGGGATTGAAAATTTCAGACAACACACAATTGAAAGCATAAAAAATGCAAACCAAGAGCCAACAAAATATCACAATCTTGAGCCACCTCAATGGATCCTCACAAGAGTCTCATGGCTCTCTAGTGAAAGGATGGCTTTGCTATGTTGTAGAATAAACCAGATGGAGAGCCTCAGACTAACTGCTCAATGGACACTGACAGTGAGTGCACTTGGGCAGTTATTTTCCTTTTTTAGCTTCTACTGCCAACCAAGTTTCCTTCTCCAAATTTTTTTGCTAAGAGTAAAATGAATTTTGTGTTACTAATGCTCAAGAAGTAGCTCTTAGGAAGGTTTTACACATGACATTTGTTTGAGAAACATTTAACGTAGATAACAGTACTAAGTGTTTTTTGCATACATACACTGTACAAAGAATTCTTAATATCTTGCTCTTGTAGTTTGGTAAGTCAGCCTCCAGGACACCAGCTAGGCCTTCCAAATTGCTCTCCAAAGATGAAGTACTCTAAGAAATAAAATAAGTTTTAGAAACTGACTGATCAAGAAATATCCATCAATCCCTCAAGAAAAAGTGTTTGGATGGAAGACTATTTTGTTGCGCTCTTATTAATGAAGAGGACAATGGATAAAAAGAAGATGGGTAGGGCTGTTTGTTTTTGTGACTGTAATGTTTCAAATCTTACTAGGCTGCACAACATTTTTCATTTGCTGAAAGCAGGCAGCAGATGAAGAATGAGTAAAGAATTGAGTACTCTTCTCCAATTCTGCCACAAACACCGAAAACGTCATCTCTTCATTTCACTTGGAGAAGGGATTTTTAGAAAATTGCACTACCAAACCTGCATTTGCATAGGTCAGTGGTTGTCAACCAAGGTACATGTACAAGGACTTAAAAGGGTCATAAGGGGTATACAGAACTCTGTGTGCAAACTCAGCACAGCACGCAGGCAGCCTGGCCACATGGACAGCAGTCAGGTCTGGCTAGTAAGTTTGTTGTGGGGAGAGAGAGTGGGGCTAGGGCAGGTGCCCAGCCAGGGCAGAGTGCGGGACTGAGCCACATGGGGACTGGAGGGCGGTGGTTCCTGCCACTATGTGCACCCCGGGAGGGCATGCGAGGCATGTGCTCCCAGATCTGGGCGTGGGGTGGGATGTGGCCAGGGCCATATTAGGCTCTCCCCGGCGGAGGCTGGGCTGGGGCGGGCTGTGCTACAGGAAGGTGGCAGCAGTACTGGGAGGGGGGTTGGGGGAGGATACGGTTAATTCTGGTATGGCTGCAGCATCCCTCCCGCCCCATAGCCCCTCTGCTGTGCCTACACACTCCCTCCCTCGCCGTGAGGGAGTGGGGCTGGGGCTGCTCAGGTGGGCCAGAATGCGGGACAGAGCCGTGAGCGGCTCGTCTGGGGAGCATGGGGGGTGGTGGTTCCTGCCACTGCACGCACCCCAGGAGGGTATGGGGGGGCCACGTACCCCTGGATCTGCAAGTGGGGCATGGCAGGCTGCCACTGCAGGCTGGAGCCAGGGAAGCGCTAGACTGTTCCCAGTGGAGGCTAGGCCAGGCTGCACTGGGAGTGGGGCTTGGGGGGCTATGGTGAATTCTGGGGTGGCTGCAGTTCCTCCCGTAGTGCCCTCCCAGTGCCGCCACTGCCCACACTGAGCGCAACCCGGCCCAGCCTCCTTTGGGAAAAGCCCAGCGCAGCCCCAGCTTGGTCATGCCCTGCGCACAAATCCAGGGGCATGCACTCCCCATGCCCTCCCAGGAGCAAAGGCACGAGCTGCTACCCCCCACACCCCCTGGGTGAGCCACTCACAGCTCTGTCCTGGCTGGGCAGCACCTGCCCCAGCCCCAGCCCCACCCCCACTCCCTCCCTCACTGCAGGGGCCTATGGGAGTGGGGCTACAGTGGAGGTGGGGGGGGGAGGGGCAGGCGGCTGCAGCCACTCCACAATTCGCTGTAGCCCTTCCACCTCCAACTGCCCTCTCAGTGCCACTGCCGCCCACCAAGCATAGCCTGGCCCAGCCCGCACCAGGAAGAGCCCAGTTCCCCAGCCCACACCAGCAGCCTGCCCACCCCACATGCACAGATCTGGGGGCACACCTTCCCCATGTCCTCCCACGGTGCACGTAGCAGCGGGAGTCACCCCACCCCGGCTGGGCAGTCTCTGCTCCAGCCCCACTCCCTCTGCTACTGCCGGGGCCTCAGCCTGGCCACCCCTTCCCCTTCAGCAGCAGCCAGGACTTGCCCCACACACACATCCAGGGGCACACACCCCTCACACCCTCCTGGGGTGTGTTCAACAGCAGGGGCCATGCCCCCTGGACAAGCCACTCACAGCTCTGTCCTGCACCCCGCCCTGGCTGAGCAGCCCCTTTCTCCACTCCCTACCCCACTGCTGGAGCCTCAATCTGTCCCTCTCCCCAACAGCAGCAGACTGCCCTTGCGTCGCACACAGATCATGGGGCACACGCCCCCCATGCTCTCCCGGGGTGCGTGCAGTGATCCCATCCCCTGTGCCCCCCGGACGAGCCTCTCGTGACTGTCCCACGCCCCAGATGAGCAGCTCCTGTCCCTGCCCCACTCACTACAGGGCTTTGATGCCCCCCGCCCCATAAAAACAAGGAAAAAATATTAAGGGGTACATGAGCTGAAACTTCAAGACAGAAGAGGTACACTTGTTAAAAAAGGTTCAAAACCCCTGACATAGATGGTATTTTCATCATCTGGACTGAACCCCTGGACTCACTCCTTGACTTCCACCTGAAGTTTACCAATTATCACCCCTTGATCAAATTTTCTCTGGAATATTCTTATACTAACATTAACTTTCTAAATACCATGATCCACATCTGGAACAGCACCCTACAAACCCATATATACAAAATAATGTACAGACCACCATATTTACAACCACAAACACACCAATAAAAGCTGTAATCTGCAGTCAGGCCCTCAGATGCCATGGCATCTGCTCTGAGAACACTCTTGATGCCAACCTTGCCAATATGAAACCTGCCTTCATACAACAAGGACACTTTAGCACGGACAGGCTGATCACAAATATGCAGGGCTAAAAACAGTTAGAAATGGATTGTCCTTAGAGAGATCATTGGTATGAAATATCTGGAGCTTAGTAAAGATTCCAGACCAGGTACCACTGAATACCTGCTAGAATACAAAAAGAAACTGCTTTGTGACCACACCCCTTGGTGGTCACCTTCCACACAACACTTGAACCAGTAACAAGAATCACACAGCCTATACCTGAAAAAGATCAGAACCTGAGAGAAATATCCCTAGCCCTTTTCCCCTAGCCCCCACTCCTGACTTTCAAATAACCCCCTAGCCTTGCCTAACTCATCAACAGAAGCAAAGTCCCCACAGATCAGACTTCAAACAGGATGCAGCCTTGCCTTAACTATTAATACAAAACCTGTCAAAATGCCTACACTGCTAAAATGATCAATACTGCCCACAACAAACCAAGCAGAATCCACAGATCTGACATATCTATCCCCGTACATGGTATAATCTCATCCAATGCACCAAATACCTCATGGAAACCTATGTGGGTGAAGCCAGACTAAAACTATACACCAGAATGAAAGATCACAGGAAATAAATTATAGACAGAGACACAAACACACATAGGAGAGAACACTTTTCACAGAACAACCACTCACTTTCTGACCTCACTATCCCAGCTCTCAAGGGAAATTACAAAACTCCTTCAAAAGATGGGAATAATGATTCAAAAACTGGCTAGACACTAAGAACCAAGGACTGAACACAGACATTGAGTTCACAGCTTACTATAATCTACCTGGTAATCTCTTGTTCACTCCACAGGTGGTAAAGATGCTTCTCTTTTCAATTATCTTGACCCTCCATTAATCAAGCTATCCTTTGTTTTGCAATTTTCTTGTCTGTTAGCTACTCCTAGGAATGTGTCTTTTTCTCCTATTTTGCAAACCTCCAGACTCTCCCCCCCCCCGGGGAATCTTTTTTATTTGTGGAACTGACTCCTACACTGAATTCTTTTTTGGTGGTGGTGCTGTGTTGCTGCTTAATTTTCAGGTGGCTGAATTGCTAGGTTCCTCTAGCCATCTTCAAGACATGAAGGGTTAAACCAATGACACTTTTCTCCGTGTTTTCCCTCAGTTGGTTTGTAGAATATAAGCTTTTCACTGTACTGGGTCATTTCTTTTTCTGCTCAGACAGTTTCTTATGGAGTGCATTTCTTTTATTCCTTCACCCCAATTGTACTGTGAATGCTTAATAAGAGACTCTCCAGCAAAACTTTAATACTTCTAAAATCTCCTGTACTATGTGAATGTTTGCAGAAAAGCTATTCAGTGATGCCTGGGGCTGGAATCTTTACTCCAGGTCTTTCATACAAGTGATTGCTCTCAGAAGACCATCCATTTCCATTTGTGTTTAGCCCTAACTGTACCGGTTTTCTCCTTAGATCTGAACTAGAATGCACTGTATTCAAAAGCTTGTTTAAGGCTAACCAACCACATAGTTGGTCCAATAAAAGATATCGCCTACAAAAAATCCTTACCTCTTGCATCTTTTCACTTCCATTACACATATGATCTATGAGAAATGTATGCATCTTATAAATTAACTAAATCAGAAACATAATATAAATTTCAAACCAGAGGGCTTACTTCAACCATTACAATATAATTTAAAAGTGGTTATAAAGATGGCATATTAAAAAAGCATGGTATGCATCAAGGATGCCTATTATTACCCCTACTTTTTGCTATGGTAATGGAATTGTTTGTCCAGTCAGTCAAAAATAATCCAAATATACAGGGAGCAAGCAGGACACTCTTCTTGTTGTGTTTCAGTGGTAGAATCCACGTCTGCCATGCGGGAGACCTTGGTTTGATTCGCAGAAGTACATGCAACTACAGCCATTGAGGCACCAAATATTTAGACTCAGCTTGGTGTTTGGATTCTGTCTCGATGGCCTAAGGGGGTTATGAAATGTCTGGGCAGCCTCCACTCCTCCATAGTGTTGCCTAGGCATACATGCTGGAGGTCTGGGTGACCTCCCACACATACACCATGATCCAGAAAGATTCAACAGAGGCCTACTAAATGTAGGACAAGAAAAACATAACATTATTCATTACCAGCAAGCCTAGTTTTGTCCACTTAAGAATCCAAACTTTAAAAAAACCCCCAAAATTGGCATTTTTCCATGATTAAAATTAAATGCCACTATATATATCTATAAATATGTATCAGTTGAACACAATATTTTATTGATATATTAATAATTTTATAGCAATTTAGAAGCCTACTAGTGCCTCAATCGTCATAACGAAATAAATTCTAAATAACTATACATTTTGGCATTTGATTTTCTTTTTTTATTATGGAAAAAATCAGAGCTCCCCCTGCCCCCTTCATTAAGCAGGATGCGGGTCCAGCTGCAGCTGTCCCCCCACAGCTTTGTGGTACCGCTGGTGCTCTGACCCTGCCCATGCTGTTCCCCCTCACTCCCAAGACACAGTCCCCCCAGCCCTGCATGTGTTCCTCACTCCCAACCTACAGCCCCTGGCCCTACCAGTGCCCCTCACTCCTGACCCACAGACCCCTACCCCTCTAGCCCTGCCAGAGGGGACCCCCAGCTGCCAGGGCTACAGGACCATGCTGCTCACTCTCTGCTCCATGGGCACCAGCTGCAGCCAGCCAGCAGCACCTGAGCCCCAGCTGCTGTGTGGGAAGCAATGGCTAATGCAGCCAGTGCAAATCACAGACCCCAGTGGACCCCTGCTTCTCTCTGATGGTGGCACAGCTAGAGCGGAGCTCATGGGGAGTGTAGGAGTATGTGAGCTGCCAGCTGCAGGGCTACATGCCCCAAGGCATACTCTCCCCCAAGAAACCTCCACAGCCAGCAGGCAGGACCCAAAATGGGAGGGCAGAGCAGGGCAAGAAGCCTCGATGTTGCCACTGCCAGGAGCCCCGTGCTAGTCATGCTGCCACGGTGAGGCATCCCCTGTGGGCCCAGCAGCAACAGGGGTGGTGGTGGCGGCACTGTGGAGTTGCACCCCCCACCCTCCACCCCAGCAAGCAGGGGGCGCTGCATCATGGTGGCATGGCCAAAGCAGGGCTCCTAGCAATGGCAGCACCAAGCCTCCCCCACCCCACTTTGCCCTCCTGCACTGGGTCCCACCTGTTGGACTGTGGAGGCCAGGGGGAATTCAGCAGAGCAGGGAGCCCTGAGCCCATGTGCCCTCCCTAACGCATCGCCTCTGACACAACTTGTCCCCGGGACTGCAAACATAGGTGAGAAGCCAGCCCTCCTTTTCACCAGATGAGCCAGCTATGGCTCTGTTCCACTTCCCCCAGCAGGCCCTGCAGTTGTGCATTCCGCCCTGGCCCCTGGCCCCAGGCCCCATGCACCACCCCAGCTGGGTCTCATCCCCAGCCCCCAACCCTACCCCATTTCCCCCCTCACCATGGGGGCCTCAATCTGCCCCTCCCATTACCTATAACCACACCCCCCCCAACAAGACTTACCTGCAGGCAGCTAGGGGAACTGCTTTCCACCACTTCTGGCTGTACTGCACGTGGCACCCTCTGAGTCTCGCTCCCCTCAGCCCCAGGCAGCCCTCTTCAGGCTGGAATTCTCTCAGCCGTCAAAGGCAAACCTACAGTTTCCCATGTTTTTCTCCTTTAAAGGAGAAAATCTGGGTTTTTCCGCAGCAAAGAGAACACCTGAATCTCTGTTCATTACAAAACCAATTAATCTACTACCTGAACCACAAAAGGAGAAAAACAACACAGAAAAGTTTCTGGATTTAAAGTTAACTATGAAAAGTCACAACTCCTAGACATCAGTATAGGACCAGATCCATGAAGAGAGACAGTTATAAATATAAATGGGTAACTACTTCATTAAAATACTGAAGGGGGAATACTACTAAAAAAAGGCAGGACTTGTATAGCTACAATTTTACTCCTTTGATTGAAACCAGATTCTAAAACAGATTTAGAGAACTAGCTAAATATGAAATTTCATGGTTAGGCAGAATTACAGCAATTAAAATGAATGCTCTAGTCTAGCTTGCATTACTTTATTATTCCAAACACTACTTGTTATAGTTTCATAGTTTGTAGGGTCGAAAGGGACCTGAGCAGATCATCATTATAGTGCCAACAAATCTTTTACGTGAGTAGAAGGCTATGAAAGATAAATTTATTTAGGGAAATAAGAAACTTAGTTTTAAGAATTCTATCCCGAAAAGACTTCAGCAAAAGGAGAAGAAAATTTATGCTTCCAAACATTAAATATTACTTTGGTAGAAAGAAAAGTAGGGCCCAAAGGGACTTCCAGAGGTCTAGTCCAAGCTCCTTCTTGAGGCTGGATCATTACAAACCATCCTTTATCTAACCCATTCCTAACTCTACACAAATCAACCTTGTCACACAACTGCAAGGCCAATTGCCCAAACACATCAAAAGCACCCTAACCTACCACAAGTAAAATAGAGAAAGAAGGGCTGTCAGTGTCCAACTGCTGCAAGGATGTTAACATGCACTCAAGAGAACTAAGGAAGAAGGCCAAGCCCCAGCTATAGAGGAAGTTGACAACATTTTGAGTACGTAATTTTTCACAATTACTTTTGGATATTTTTTTGGACTCTTAATTGAATTCAAACTCAGCATTATAAAAAAAAAATTCACAGATGCCAGAAATCTTGTGCCCAAGCTTGTTAAGGACCATAACTTACTGCTAACTCTTACCTTCTCACCCACTCTGCATATTAAAGATTCTAGTCTCTCTTCAATTTCAGATGGCTCAGATGTTCTCCTCCTTTTATGAGTTTGCCCTGTTTCAACACATTAATAAAATCAAGAATAAAGGTTAAAATTATTCCTTGCTTAATTTTTAAGAGTTTGCTTAACAGTTCTGTCAGCCCCATTCTCATTCTAATTTTGTACTATACCAAGGACACACAACATTGCTACTGTTATCCAGGACAGATCAAATAAATGTTCAAAATAACAAAGACAACATCTGTACTTCTACAGAAATCTTACTCTTCATGCTATGTCCAATTTTGACATCTTATTAGGAATTAATTTCACAATGCCAATAACAGCATATTATAAAGCTAAAAAAATGACTGGAGAATTAACTTTAACTTTATTAGTTTTATGTTTCCTATTAAACATCCCATTATGTTCTCTGACACTTATGTTAAAAATGTGATGAACCTTGCGCAAGGGATTGTATCATAGATCCCTTTTAATGTATTTATACTCTTTTAATTTGGGAAAATGACTAGACACTTGAGACTAAATCCAAAAGTTAAGTTCCTAAATACCTTTAGGGGTCTGGCTCTAGCAAACTAAAAATAAAATGGAGACTTATTAAAAGGGTTTAAAAGTTGAAACAATGATTTGGAATTCATCTCCGCCAGTAAAAGGTGAAAAACTCGAGCAGTAAAATAGTAGATTCTCTACCCATGCAGAATTTTATTATTAATTCATTTTTAATTGTACGTGCCTGAAGTGCAGAAAAGTGCTGAACCTATTCTATTTTTTTCTACATACTGTTATGTTGTTCATGTCACTAATATCTGAACATACTCTAACAGTGCTTTAAGCCAATGATGTCATTCAGTCTTCTCCTGAGGTAGTGGTGGGAGGAGATTTTTACATATAGTTAGTTCATCTTGTTTTATTTCTTCAAGCGTACATGCCATTCTGTGCATTTGAGAAGCCAGGTAGAATGCACTTTGTTTTTGCAGTAGAAGGTAAGGCTGATGCTAGTCCTCTATTCCCAAGGAAGTTAATTCCAGGCAAGAATGCACTCCCTGCACAAACATGTTTTCCCATTTGGGCAGAAGATTCCACCACACCAGAACAGCAAAACTGTCAACAACAGTCTCCTCAGAGCCATAGATAACACTTTAGATACATTGAGTCCAGGCAGCTGAGCACCTTGAAAACATGGAAAGTGACTTAAACTTGATTTTGTTATAAAGAACTGCAGCCTACTGAGTAGATATATAACAGCATTTTTACTGTTCAGATTTCCTAAATGGTGATGGCTTATTGCTCAAGTGTACAGGTAAACCTGATGGGAAATGACAAAAGGTGTGTAGAATAGACTGGGGTCACTGTCTGTCAGGACAAGATGATGCCAAGGCAGAAAAAAACAGTTTGTGACAGACTGATATGTAGTCTTGCACTCCTCACCAATACCACAGACTGAACTGACCAGCTACTGTGGTCATCTTTAACCAAAGAAGGCTGCACACTAGCTCTTTGTTATGTTCATTTTTAGACAGATGCTGTCCATCTATAACTGATTTTCTGCAGGGACTGGGATACCTTGGTAATACTGAGATGGCTATATAAAAAGGTAAAAGTAGAGCAGTTAGTCATCTGCATATGGCTAGCACTTGAAGTCAGTCTATTTAGTAGCTGCACATGGAACAGAACTCCAGGAACTCAGGGAGACTACTGGTTGCTATGAGGGAGAAGATCCATGTGAAATAGCACACTAGTTTTTTGCAGTACTTATTGCTGGATTCTGTTGCGAATAGTACTGACATGCTGTGCTAGTCCATATCACTCCTTAAAAAGGAATTTCAGTTTCAGAACGACAGGAAGCCTCTTTTGGTCTATAATACAGCTTCACAGGCTAACAGAAACATTTCAACCTTTGTTTCTACCTTCTCTGTTCATCTAGTGTAGTGTGTCAAAAGTCAAGATCTAGGTGGACAACGCGTACGTAGATAGCCAGTTTTAAACAGTATATTGATGTGCAAGGCTTATATACAGCAATAACAATTTGCCAGATCCACAGATCTTAAGCAACGCTGTGTGAATACTCTCCTATAACATCATAGGCCAGAGGTGTCAAACATGGCCCACGCGCCAGGTCTGCCCTACACAGCCATTCTACCTGGACTATGGGACTACCAGCAGTTGTGGATCATGACCAGGGGAAAGTGGGGAGTGCAAGGCCTGCTGCCAAATCCATGGACCTCAAGACTATGGTGAATGCAGCAATTGATGACAGCAAGGTGAGCAAGGGCTCACACAGCCCCAATCACCCTCTGCATGTGAAGACATCAGAGCTCCACATCTGTCCACGTGGGAGGATCCTGCACAGGTTTGCAGGACCCACAGCGCTGCCAATGCAGATAAGATACATTAGGAACAATACAACGCCAAACAGAATTGCTGCCGCAGACGTTACCTCACATGTTCCTTTCCTGACATGCACTTAGCACCTGCTACTTGACAAGGAACCCCAAATGGCTGACAGGCCCTGGCCTTGGCCCCTGCCCCGCAAACCATACAAAGCCCTTGGAAACATGAGGTTCGCATTCGTTTCCCCAAAGTAAAACGAGACGCGGCCACGCTCCCGGCACGGGACCGAGAGCAGCACGCGACCGACACGTCCATCCGCGCGCGGGCACCAGAGCCCGGGGCCTACAGCTGGTCGCAGGCAGATGCCCATGCCGCGCC